TGTCTGATTTAAGCCTGATAATGTAATCAATTGTAATTCAATAACCAGCATTTACACAATACTTTGTGTGAGGTCATTTTCATTCATGTAACACAACATATTGCATCTGACTAACAGAATGACTAGAAAGATAACATCAGAAAAATAACTTTTCTAACAGCTTTCTAACTCTAATTCCCTTTCCTTTACCGTAAAAAGACAGATGTTCAGAGTAATATGTCACACTGACTGCAGACTAATGTGCAGTTATGCTCCCAGTAAAATATCAAGATATAAAACTTAACAGCTTGGCATGGTGGTGCAGACCCACATGCCTGCTATTCAGGAGGCTGAGAGAGGAGGATCCCAAGTCCAAGAGCAGACTGAGTAGCTTATTAATGTCATCTCTCAAAGGTCAGAAGGGTATGAATGCATCTCAATAGCAGAGAGAGTTTGATCCTCAGAACCATAATTTTTTTTAATTTTTTATTTAACTTTTATTCATTATACTTTATTCATTTTGTATCCCCCCATAAGCCCCTCCTTCCTCCCCTCCTGGTCCCACCCTCCCCCCCTTTCTGCATGCATGCCCCTCCCCAAGTCCACTGATAGGGGAGGTCCTCCTCTCCTTCTTTCTGATGAAATAAAAAGCTGTATATATCGGCAGCTTTAACTGAAATTCCAGCAAATAGAAGGCTGAGGCAGGACAAATGCAGAGTGTCTGAGGCATCATGGGATACATACGGAGTTCAAGATAGTCTTGAGCTATTAAGAGAGACTGTTTCAAAAAGGCCATTTTAACACACAATTCTTAAGCAATATAAACAGGTCTTTTCCAAAAATTTACAAGTAAGTTTTATGCCAGAAATTTTATAAGATAACACTTTACATAAGTCAGTAGGAACACACCACTTGGGGAATGGAAGCACAACACACAGGCAGTGGACATACAACACATACACAGTGTAAACCTAAATCATAGGCAGTGAACACACACCGCAAAGCAGCAGACAAACACCATATAGTTAGTGCATATACAGCACATAGGCAGTGCACACAAGGCAATGTACACTTTCCACATAGGCAGTGCGTACACAACACATAGTGAACAACATACAGGCAGTGGACACACACCACACAGGTGCTGGACATTGGGGTAGTTGTCTAAAGAAGAGATGGGCAAAGGGTATAACTCAGTGGTAGGGTGGCTGCTAACATTCATGAGGTCTGGGGGACCTCAAAAGTACCACAAAGTGGGGAAAGACGAGGCAAGGTACCCTGGAAAAGCCTCAATATATGCCTGTTATGCTTTCCCTATCACGTGTGTTTTCCCTATGATAAAGACAGTAACCACAGGAAGGAAGCTGGCATCACACAGCCTTGTTAAGAATGGTGAGTGAATTTGCATTTCAACCTCAGAGAACTAGATAAGGCCACCAAATTGTGCTAATTATTTTTAGATTTCTTTGGGACATTTTTGAACAGCAGAAGAGGGTTGCCACAAATTTGAGATTAGCTTAATCCACATCATGAGCTCCAGGCTGTTCTCGGCTATATAAAAACCCTGTCTCATCAGAGGGGCTGTGTTGTCTTCTTCTGTGGCCTGGTAATGCTGCTTCCTCCTCAGGGGGAGGTAATTAAAGAGCAAGCCAATCAGTTCATGTCAGAGACAGTCCCTGTTCCTATTACAATGGAACCCACTTGGATACTGAACTGCCTTGGGCTACATCTGTGCAGAGGTCTTAGGTTGACTAGGATCAGAAGGAAGGAAAAGAAGCCCTCCCCTATCAGTGGACTTGGGGAGGGGCATGCATGCAGAGGGTGGAGGAAGGGAAGAATTGGGATGGGAGGAGGGAGGGAACCACGGGGGGGGGGGATACAAAGTGAATAAAGTATAATTAGTAAAGAAAAATTAAAAAAAAAACCTGTCTCAAAACAAATTGAACTTTAAGTTAATAATGTTAAATACTACAAGGAAAACAAATCCAAACATTAACATTTGCTATGTCAGAGTCATCTACTTGTTCTCTGCAACTATGAGGATGCATTTATATCATTCTTATTTTCCAGATGTGGAAATTGAACCTCACACAGTTGAAATAGCATATCCAAAGTTCACTTCTACTCTACCTCAATAGCTCTGAGCAAGAACAGCACCTTTTTCCAACCCCAGGCATACTGGCGATAGAACCCACAGCTTTATATATGCTAATCAAGTATCCTCTGATCTACACCACCAACCAGTTTGATTTTCATTTTGAGAAGAGTTGCTTTGACTAAACGTCAACTCACTCAGCAGTACAGGCAGTACAGGCTTGGACTCATGCTCCTACCTCAGCTTCCTGAGTGGCTGGGATTACAAGCCTAAACAACCAAGTTCAGCAAAAATCTCATTATTAGATTTGTGCTAGTCTGTCTCTGTACTGAAATGCCATTTTTAATTGGAAAAAAAACTTTAAGAAATTATTTTTTTCTAGACAGGGTCTCAATATGTAGCTCTAGCTGTCCTGGAACTCACGATGTAGACCAGACTGGCCTTGAACTCACAGAGGTCTGCCTGCTTATGCCTCTGCTTCTCAAGTGCTAGAACTATAAGCATGTACCACTTCACCTGGCTTTTAAGAAATTCTTAAAAGCTGGTGTTCACAGGAAAACTACAATCTCTCATAGTCTGTGGGACTGCAAAGTAATATGAATATCTTTTTGTCCTACTCTATTTTATACCCCCTTTCCCAGCCTTATACTATAGAACCCTAGCAGGCTTTCTACTATATTGGGATACCTGCTTGGGGATCAATTTGCCCACTTGTTTCATTTGTTTGCTGCTTTGGGAGTTTATAAGTCAAGGTCTTGCTACATAGCCCAGGCTGCCCTCAAACTAGCGGCAAAGTTCATGTGCTGGGATTACAGATATGTTCCATTGTGTCCATATGTGCACTGTGTTTGTTTTTATTTGGTGTGTGTAGTGAGGGGTGAGGAGTATACATGTGTGCACATGCTTATGAAGGCCAGAGGCCAACTTCAGATGTCATTTCTCAGGCACTATTTACTACTTTTCTTTTTAAACAGAATCTCTCAATGACCTAATCATTGATTAGGCTAGACTAGCAAGCCAGCAATCTCCAGTGACCGGCTTGTCTTCACCTCTTCAGACCTGGGATTATAAGCACACACCACCACTCCTAACATTTTGACATGAGTTCTGGGATTTACAGACTGAGCCATCTCTCCAGCCTGTTTTATTTCTTGTTTTTAGAGCTGAGTTTTTTGTTTGTTTTTGTTGTTGTTGTTATAGATGTTATGGGGAAATCTCACGGTGTAGCTCAGACTGGCTATTAACTAACTCACTGTAACCCTTCTGCCTGAGCCTCTTGAGTGGTGGGATCACAAATTTGAGCAGCCCCTCTCCTTCCTTCTCTTATTCCCTCCCTCCCTCTCTTTCCCTCTCCCTATCTTCTCCCTCTTCTTTCCATACCTCTGTGTGTGTGATTGTAGATACCACAAAATAACTTGTAATAATATTAAAATTCTGCATAACATAGAAGCTGAGGAGACAGTTCAGTGGGTAAAGTATTTACTGCATAAACAAGAGGACCTGGTTCAGATCCCTAGTACCCAATCCATAAAGGCAGAATGTGGTGTTATGCATCTGTAATCCTAGCCCTGAGGGTGGGAGGTAGTGTAAACCAAAATATCCTGTTATGCCCAGTTTGTGAGACCCCCAAAGACCACCAAGAATTGGCTCCACTGCAAAACACATGAAGGTTTGTTTAATACAAGCTAGAGCCTAGGTTGCAGCAACTGCCCTGGTGAAGAGGAGAAGTGTGGTAGAGCAGTCTAGGGGAACTTAAAGGCAAAACTGCAAGCAGGGGGGCTCCAAGCCTTGGTGTTACATGACTGGGTAAGGGAAATTGACTTTTGAAATGATTGGTTTACTTTATGTACCATAAACAGTTCAGTCCTGGCCATCTGGGCCAATTCCCTAGCAACTGTATCTCTAGTGGGCAGAAAAAGAATGCTGTAAGGCTAGTTCCTCCCTTCTAGGTGGCTGGACATGTCTCCACCTGGCTGGCTTTCATGTCTCCACCTGGCTGGCTTTCATTCAGGCTTATGCTTTAAACTTGAAACCAATACCCCCAAAACATAATTTTTAATTCTTTGGTTTCTCAATCACAACCACTTATTACCCAGCCAACTGATAAGCTCCAGGTTCAGCAAAAAACCTTGTCTCAAAAATAAAATAAAATAAAATAAAGTAAAATAAAATAAAATAAAATGAAATGAAATGAAATAAAATAAAATAATAAAATAACTGTAAGATGGAGAAGCAATTTAATTAGACATTCTGATGTCAACCCCTGGCTTCCATACACAGTTGCCCATAGAAGAGAGCACCTACATACATACCTGCACATGAAAGTCCCACTGAGCCCAAAGATGTGGGGAGAGTTGATTATCCAAGAATTCTATGACGAAGCATTAGACTGTTGAACAAATGAACCAACTGTTTAAAATATTACATCATTTACTACTATATCATTGACATGAAATTTTGTCCCTTTTGAGGCTCCCACCATATAGTCCTTAACTGGCTTCAAGCTTTCTACCCTCCTGCCTCAGACTCAAGTGTGCTTAGATTGCTATTGTATACCATGAATGGACATGTTAAAGGTAAAAGATACCAAACTGTGTACTGCTATTTTAAGACCTTAAAAATCTATGGAAATTGACAGCTTAGCTCAGTTGTATTCACATATCCCTCAGCTCTGTAAATATTAAAAAAAATTTGAGAGACCTGAGAACTTGTATCTTTCATTTCTAACCAATATGTTAAAATAATATTTAAACTGAAACAATTCTAGGTTTTATATATCTTTATTGAGATATATTTTGTTCAACATAAAATTTGACCTATTAAAATATACTCATCACTAATTTTAGTATATTCACAAAATTCAATTTGCATAATTGATCAACTATCACCACCAAAAGTTTCAAAGCAATCTGTCACTTAAAAAACTTGCCCCCCTGGCAATGGACAAAGAGACACCTTGCTGGTAGTATTGCTCTTATATCAGTTAGGGGCAGAGCAGATGGCAGTCCTTTGTTCATCTTAGCTTGATGCCTGTCCTGGTGGCAAAAGCCGTTTTATATCTAAGACACATAAAAATCAAATCAAATCCAATCAGCACAGCACAGGAGGAAGACAACAACCTTCCTTCCACCGTGCCATGTGGCATAGGCACGGAAAGACACCCACAGACCTGCCTTCCTCCCCACAGCACAGGCAGGCCATAGACACATAGAGCCCTGCCTAACACTATGCAGAGCAAAGGAGGAAGACAAACAGATAGCAGCAGACTCCCAAGTGCTATAGTCTAAGAGAGGATGGGCCAGCTTTCCCACTCTAGTGTCCTTGGTGCCAGCTCTCCTTCTCTCATGCCCTTGGGGCCAGCTCTCTGGTCTACCATATGTGTTGAGAGGGGAGGAGGGATGGAATCACCCCTGAGAGACCAATGAATTAAAAAGTAGTTTTTTGAGTTATTGGTTTAAAGTTTAAAGCACAAGCCTGAACAAAGGCCAGACAGGTGGAGACATGTCCAGCCACCTACGGGGAGAAACCAGCCTTACTGCATTCCTTTCCGGGCCACTGGAGATAGAGTTGCTAGGAAACTGATCCAGATCACCCCTCTCCCCTAGGACAGCCAAACAAGAGAAGCCAGACAGTTAATGGTTTGGGGACCTTCCTATAGCCAATCAATTCAAAATGCAACATCCCCTTTTGTGCTTCAACCAATAGACACTTGCCAAGCAGAAATTCCCCTGCTCTGGGCATGCTGAGAGGGACTGGAATCTTCAAATCAACCACCTAACCTGAGCACTAGGCACTCTACTCTCAACCGTTGCATCTGTGAGAGTGTGGGTCCAAGCTATAGCTTGTAATAAAAAGATCCTCATGTGTTTTGAAACGGACTCGACTCCTGGTGGTCTTTTGGGGTCTCTTGAATCAGGCACAATACGCCTAAATCCAATGCTACCACCTCATAGCACATGAGTGGCAGGGCTAGCTCTCCTGGGCTCTTGCCCGTGGGGTTGGCTCACCTGAGGTCCCAGCTCTGCTGTGTGTCCAGGTGATGCATAGGGCCCACTCACCTGAGTATTGCAGCTGGTGAGAGGCAGGGTTACTGCTCCTGAGCTCATGACCCTGTAGGCAGCTTTTCCTACTGCCTGAGTAAGCTCTCCAATGCTCAAGTCCTTGAGGCTGGCTCACCCACACCCCTGCCACTAGGGCAAGCTCCACTGTGCTGCCTGAGCAAGGTGCAGGGTCTGCTCTACCAAGTGCTGCCTCTGGTGAGAGGTAGGGCTAGCTCTCCAGAGTACCTCAGCCAGTGAGTGGCTGGGCCAATGTACAGCCCTTGAACATCCACATGGTCCTTGACAGTTGCCCCAACCAGGGATGTCCCCATGTTCTTTAATGGTAATATGGGCTATGACCCCTGCTGCTGTGTAGCTATGGTCCCAGACATGTCCTTCAGTGGCAGCTTGGGCTGGGATCTCACCACGGCCCCAGGTAGCAGGACTGGCCACTCACAACAGGCTCTTCCACTCCACCCTTGAGCTTCCAGTGCTATCTCTCTTCATAATGCTCAAGCTGCTCCACTTATTTTTTTCCCCATCTGTCCACCTCATACTTTCACATTGTGGTGGCTCCTCCTGCTGCCTGGACATGCACTGGTGGGCTTCTTGATGACCAGCGTGGTAGTAAGAAGGAGGGCAAGTCTGTGGGTCTCATGGGGGTCTATCTTCCTCCTTTCTTTGTAGGGCGGAGCTTGGCTGCCTGCAACTTGAGGGGCTGGAAAAGACAGTTAAAATAGTCTGGGGCGGGGGGGGGGGGGGAAGCCTGATCACGTGAGAGCACCTCGAGGAGCTAGGCCAGCCTAGGCCATTGGAGTAATCTTGGGACAAGGACAGACCACTCTCACGTCTCAAGGGGCTTACAAGGAGGATCAAGAGTTCGAGGTCATCGTTAGGTACATAAGCAGTATTTGAAGTCATCCTGAGCTATATAAGATCCTGTTTCAAAAAGAAAAAGAAAGCTGAACCAAAAGGAAGGGAGGAAGAAAGTGAGGGAGGGAAGACTGATGCTAAATGGATCTGAATGGCTCAGTGGGTAAAGGTGAAAGCCGCCATGCTTGATGACTGGAGTTTGGTGCCTGAAACTCAGAAGGTAGAATGACAGACTCAACATCCCAAAGGTGTCTTCTACATCCACAAGCACACTGTGGTGACCTGAAACTTCTGATTTTCTTGCTTCTACCTCTGAAATGCTAGGATTTCAGATTTGTATTCTACCATTCTAGGCCTACACTCTCCTAGCTGAGTTACATCCCAGCTATTTGAACTTTTCCACCTGATGAGGATTTTGTGTTTCTTTTTCATGGTCCAAATGTGAGAAAAACCTGTTGTACATGTTTGACCAGAATCTTGATGTCCTCATTATCAGGTAAAGATCACCTTAATGGTCCTCCTTTGCCACACCTCATCTTACTGATCCCAAATTCCCTATCCTGGTGGCTCTGGCGTTTTCTCTTCCTCACGCCACTCACTTCTGGGAATACCTTTAGGAAACAAACAGTTTCTGTTGCTAGAGAAGGCCAATATTCCAATCCTGAGGTAACTGGTAAAGAGCTGAAAGTCCCTTTCAGTCTGACATTCCCAGAGTCCCACAGTCCCTTTCCCTGTCTGGCATCACCTAGCTAGAAACCAAACTTGACTCTTTTAGCCAAGATCTCTACACCTTTATTAAAGAATTTTTAAGTGGGTTAGGGGATGAGGGGAGGAAATGCCTTTAATCCCAGCACTTTGGGGAAGCAGAGACAGGTTGGTTGAGGCCATCCTAGTCTATAGAACAAGTTCCAGAACAGCTAGGGCTGTTACAGAGAGAAAGAAACCCTGTCTTGAATTAGCACCACCAACCACCCAGAAAAATAATTTTGAATGCTTGTTATCTTCTTTGATCTAATTTGGCAGTATATACATATATACATACATATAATAACAAATAATATATAATATTATAAATATATAGTATGTATTATATATTTAAGGGCATAGAAAGTAGTTATATTATTACATTGAATTATATTATGTTAGTATATTAAAATATAACTATATTATGTAATGTATATATATTATACACATTATATACATTATATAATATATTATGTATTATAATATATATTATAACTATCTTCTATACCCTTAAGGAAAAGCTTTGCATTTGGTCACTGGGAGGCAATGGACCAATAAGGTCTATGCTTGTGACACATGGAAGCACCTTCCTAGGGACGATGCAGGCCCAGCTGATAGCCCATCCCTGTTTAGCTCCAGATTTACTGAAGCTATGTATAAATACACTAGCTAGTATACAGAGCAAAGGCCTCTCTTTTCTTTCAGTCCATTTCATCAGCTAGTCCTTCCTGGATAAGAAACAAAGATGGGGGAGGAGGGAGGGGCTTATGGGGGGATACATAATAAGTGAATAAAGTGTAATTAATAAAATAAAATTAAATTAAATTAAAAAAAAGAGACAAAGATGTCAAAAGCTAAATAAGGAACCCCAAGATCTTTTTCTCACTTGACTAGATACAGTCTTCAAGGTGTTTTATAACCTGGATGAGGCCTTACAGACTAAGAAGGAAAAGGAATTTGACAAGTAATAGATCCAATGCATGGCAGCACTATTGTTTCATGACTACGTAGGGCCTACCCTGACTCTATTGTGTATACAAACCATAAACTGAGAGCTTTTTTTCATACTTCATGAGGACTTCATCAGGCTGTTAATAGCTGTGGCCCATCATGACACTTGAAATTGTCAAGTTCCTCATCCCCAACAACCTGGTCCACTCCAATATTGCAAATAAATAGAACAATGAAAGAGAAACTATCCTTCTCTCACCAGTACCAAAAGTTCCAGCATCATTATGGGGAAGGAGCTGTGAGGGTGAAAGGTCCTTTTCTAAGACCTTGCCAAACAGGTGGAGGCTGCTTTGGTAAGTCTGAGGCAGGAGAGATCAAGTTAATTGTTGACCAAACTGAAAGTCAGAGTCTCGCCACTCAAAGGCAAAGTAACTGAGAGTCAGGATTACAAAGATGTAGATCAGAGTATTCCTTAGGTCTAGGACTGTAAACCAGGTAGTCTCCATGAGAATTGTCTTTGGATGGCATAGGGGATCTGTTACAACAAGGTGATCATGGCTTCATTATTGGCTATAAGCATGGTACCAGCCAGCAAATGCTAGTAGGTTCCTGTCTACCAATGTAGATATGTTGGGGAAAAAATTAACAGGGCATCATAGGCCACAGGCTTCAAACTTATGAATGAAAGGTTGTATATAGTTAGCTCTGGGATTTAGACTTCAGGGGATATAAGTAGTGTCCAGGTAAGCAACTGGGGTCTTTGAGAAAAATAAATCTTGTGGAGGGGCTAGAGAGTGATCATCCTGGAAATGAAATAATCCATACCCCCGGGGGGGGGGGGACTTATTTGGGGCTATGTACCTGAGTATAGAGATTGAACAGGTGCCTGTGGAATAATTAAATCTTTAGTTTTGTCATTAATGTTAGGGCTGAGTTTTACAAGATGGCACTCCCTAGGGGTAGGTTAGAATAATTATTAACACTAGGAATGAATATGTAAAGATGAGCATATCAGAGGTAGTGTGCAGCGCCTTGTTAAGGTTGACTTTCAATTCTAGGGAGACAGATCAAGGGTAGAATGGAAAATAGTGTAGGAAAATTAGCCAAGGCAGAATGAGTAAAATATATATATATATATATATATATATAGGAGCTGGAGAGATTCCGCAGTGGTAAAGAGCATGGCTACTGTTACAAAAAAATCAGGTTTTTTATTCCCAGTACCCACATGGCAGCTAACAAACATCCATAACTCCAGTTCCTGGGGGTCTGATGACCTCTACTTGTTTCCAAAGGCACTGAAAGGATGTGGTATAAGAACAAACATGCAGACGAAACACCCACACATACAAAAATTACAAAAAAAAATATTTTAACAACTTTTTTTCAAAAAGAAATCAATTCCAATTCTTGCGACACCCAGGGCCATTTGACACTCACCCATAAGTTCACCCTCTAGGACCT